AAAGTCTGTGTTTGGGCTATTGTAAAGTCAGTGATATGAGGAACTAAGTTGCCACATAAAGCAGAATTTGCACAAATATTCAATATGTGCATTTTCCACTATACATGTTTGGTCTAGCTGAAGCGTCATCTTGACACACGGACAGAGGACGAGACGGAGCAACAGAGACGGCATTCGTCTGATGAAGAGCATTTCTCCTCATCACCTGATGACCAAAATGTCAAATAGTACAGGGGGAGCTGGATGGTACCTTGCCTGGGTGCCAGACAAGATGGACTTGATGGACTCGATGGCCAGACAAGATGGACTCGCATAAAGTGGTCCTCTGTAGCTCAGCTGGTAGAGCACGGCGCTTGTAACGCTAAGGTAGTGGGTTCGATCCCCGGGACCACCCATGCACAAAAATGTATGCACGCATGACTGTAAGTTGCTTTGGATAAAAGCGTCTGCTAAATGGCATATTATATTATATTATATTATATTATATTATATTATATTATATTATATTATATTATATTATATTATATTATATTATATTATATTATAATTCCTTTCCATACGGTATACAGTACAGACTGGATCATATATACAGTTAGTACCCAGGCCTCCCCTGAGACCCCCTTTAGTACCCAGGCCTCCCCTGAGACCCCCTTTAGTACCCAGGCCTCCCCTGAGACCCCCCTTTAGTACCCAGGCCTCCCCTGAGACCCCCTTTAGTACCCAGGCCTCCCCTGAGACCCCCTTTAGTACCCAGGCCTCCCCTGAGACCCCCTTTAGTACCCAGGCCTCCCCTGAGACCCCCTTTAGTACCCAGGCCTCCCCTGAGACCCCCTTTAGTACCCAGGCCTCCTGAGCCCCCTTTAGTACCCAGGACTCCCTGAGACCCCCTTTAGTACCCAGGCCTCCCCTGAGACCCCCTTTAGTACCCAGGCCTCCCTGAGACCCCCTTTAGTACCCAGGCCTCCCCTGAGACCCCCCTTTAGTACCCAGGCCTCCCCTGAGACCCCCTTTAGTACCCAGGCCTCCCCTGAGACCCCCTTTAGTACCCAGGCCTCCCCTGAGACCCCCTTTAGTACCCAGGCCTCCCCTGAGACCCCCTTTAGTACCCAGGCCTCCCCTGAGACCCCCTTTAGTACCCAGGCCTCCCCTGAGACCCCCTTTAGTACCCAGGCCTCCCCTGAGACCCCCTTTAGTACCCAGGCCTCCCCTGAGACCCCCTTTAGTACCCAGGCCTCCCCTGAGACCCCCTTTAGTACCCAGGCCTCCCCTGAGACCCCCTTTAGTACCCAGGCCTCCCCTGAGACCCCCTTTAGTACCCAGGCCTCCCCTGAGACCCCCTTTAGTACCCAGGCCTCCCCTGAGACCCCCTTTAGTACCCAGGCCTCCCCTGAGACCCCCTTTAGTACCCAGGCCTCCCCTGAGACCCCCTTTAGTACCCAGGCCTCCCCTGAGACCCCCCTTTAGTACCCAGGCCTCCCCTGAGACCCCCTTTAGTACCCAGGCCTCCCCTGAGACCCCCTTTAGTACCCAGGCCTCCCCTGAGACCCCCTTTAGTACCCAGGCCTCCCCTGAGACCCCCTTTAGTACCCAGGCCTCCCCTGAGACCCCCTTTAGTACCCAGGCCTCCCCTGAGACCCCCTTTAGTACCCAGGCCTCCCCTGAGACCCCCTTTAGTACCCAGGCCTCCCCTGAGACCCCCTTTAGTACCCAGGCCTCCCCTGAGACCCCCTTTACCCCCCCTGAGACCCCTTTAGTACCCAGGCCTCCCCTGAGACCCCCTTTAGTACCCAGGCCTCCCCTGAGACCCCCTTTAGTACCCAGACTGTGTCCCAAATACTCGTCAACAACTTATTTTCCCAGACTAAAACTATGATGATAACGAGACGGCCCTGGAAAAAAATCATAGCCATTACAAATGACTTTTCATTTTAGTCTATGAAAATGTGACGAGACGAGAATTCCACGGGAGACTAATGGATATTTAATTTGACATGAAGCTCCTTTTCATCTGTCCAATCCTAAGCATTCATGCAAAATATTTCATGCAATCCTCTCATCAAGCTGTCCGCTCAAGAGGAAGCTTATCGCTGTAACCAGTGCCTGTAATCTGATTCAGGTTATTAATCAACCCACCAGGGTGTTTACAAACACTACAGGAACTAGATCATCCACATGTATTGATCACATTTTTACCAATACTGTAGAACGTTGTTCTGAAGCTGTATCCATACCCATATGTCCAGTGTGCCCTGGCATGCCCTACTATGTTGGTTGTGTATAAATATTTCATTGTTTTAGATTTTCATAGTTTTTTTATTCGTTTTTTTCCTGAGAAGAACATTGTGTTGAATTCCATGTCTGAAATGTGCTGTATAAATAAAGCTTGATTTGATTTGATTTGGCCTTGTATGGGTGAGTGAGTGAGTGAGTGAGGGAATGAGTGAGTGAGTGTGTGAATGAGGGAAAGAGGGAGTTTGTGAATGAGGGAAAGAGGGAGTGAGTGAGGTAAAGAGGGGGTGAATGAGTGAGGAAAAGAGTGTGAATGGGTGATTTTTTGTTTACGTGCTTAATTTTGTATTGCTTATAATCCATCAATACATTTTAACCCCCTAAGGTCGACGTCCACGCCCCCGCGGAAATCTAATTAGCATAATAAAAAAATCCCCATAAAGATCTGTCAGTTTAAACTAGAGATATCTGTTTTTTTGCATTCTCACAAAATGGTATGTTCTGTAGCGTCCGAATGGTTGGTGTTCTCCGTTTTGCTCTATGACCCCCACAAGCATCTTGGGATTCGTCTGAAGGTCCCCCGGTACCAGTAAAAAAAAAATGTGAAGTACAGTGGGGAAAAAAAGTATTTAGTCAGCCACCAATCGTGCAAGTTCTCCCACTTAAAAAGATGAGAGAGGCCTGTAATTTTTATCATAGGCACACGTCAACTATGACAGACAAAATGAGAAAAAAAAATCCAGAAAATCACATTGTAGGATTTTTAATGAATTTATTTGCAAATTATGGTGGAAAATAAGTATTTGGTCAATAACAAAAGTTTCTCAATACTTTGTTATATACCCTTTGTTGGCAATGACACAGGTCAAACGGTTTCTGTAAGTCTTCACACGGTTTTCACACACTGTTGCTGGTATTTTGGCCCATTCCTCCATGCAGATCTCCTCTAGAGCAGTGATGTTTTGGGGCTGTCGCTGGGCAACACGGACTTTCAACTCCCTCCAAAGATTTTCTATGGGGTTGAGATCTGGAGACTGGCTAGGCCACTCCAGGACCTTGAAATGCTTCTTACGAAGCCACTCCTTCGTTGCCCGGGCGGTGTGTTTGGGAACATTGTCATGCTGAAAGACCCAGCAACGTTTCATCTTCAATGCCCTTGCTGATGGAATGAGGTTTTCACTCAAAATCTCACGATACATGGCCCCATTCATTCTTTCCTTTACACGGATCAGTCGTCCTGGTCCCTTTGCAGAAAAACAGCCCCAAAGCATGATGTTTCCACCCCCATGCTTCACAGTAGGTATGGTGTTCTTTGGATGCAACTCAGCATTCTTTGTCCTCCAAACACGACGAGTTGAGTTTTTACCAAAAAGTTATATTTTGGTTTCATCTGACCATATGACATTCTCCCAATCCTCTTCTGGATCATCCAAATGCACTCTAGCAAACTTCAGACGGGCCTGGACATGTACTGGCTTAAGCAGGGGGACACGTCTTGCGCTGCAGGATTTGAGTCCCTGGCGGCGTAGTGTGTTACTGATGGTAGGCTTGTTACTTTGGTCCCAGCTCTCTGCAGGTCATTCACTAGGTCCCCCCGTGTGGTTCTGGGATTTTTGCTCACTGTTCTTGTGATCATTTTGACCCCACGGGGTGAGATCTTGCGTGGAGCCCCAGATCGAGGGAGATTATCAGTGGTCTTGTATGTCTTCCATTTCCTAATAATTGCTCCCACAGTTGATTTCTTCAAACCAAGCTGCTTACCTATTAAAGATTCAGTCTTCCCAGCCTGGTGCAGGTCTACAATTTTGTTTCTGGTGTCCTTTGACAGCTCTTTGGTCTTGGCCATAGTGGAGTTTGGAGTGTGACTGTTTGAGGTTGTGGACAGGTGTCTTTTATACTGATAACAAGTTCAAACAGGTGCCATTAATAAAGGTAACGAGTGGAGGACAGAGGAGCCTCTTAAAGAAGAAGTTACAGGTCTGTGAGAGCCTGAAATCTTGCTTGTTTGTAGGTGACCAAATACTTATTTTCCATCATAATTTGCAAATAAATTCATTAAAAATCCTACAGTGATTTTCTTGATTTTTTTTTCTCAATTTGTCTGTCATAGTTGACGTGTACCTATGATGAAAATTACAGGCCTCTCTCATCTTTTTAAGTGGGAGAACTTGCACAATTGGTGGCTGACTAAATACTTTTTTCCCCACTGTATACTATATATGGAGACTGTTTTATGCAAAAAATAAAGGGTTAAATACATGTAAAGAAAAAAGAAGAAAAAAACGATGTTTCCTGATCTTTGTTATGTCTCTCAGATATAGAACAGACACTTCAGAACAAACTTCCTTTAGATTTGTTTTGGGGACTATCTGTTCTTCCATGTAGTGAATCTATTATTCAATGCGTTCGTATAGGCTAATAGCAGTAAGGCCAAATACAATTTTTTATCTAATAATTTTTTACATATTATTTTATACTTCAAGGGGTCTTAAAATTCTAAATCAAATAGCAAAATGATCCTTGGTATGACCTTCTTAAAACAATTCCATATAGCTTAGTAGAATCCCTACTGGAACAAACTTAATCAGTTAGTCAGTTGGCTGGAACAAAGTGAAGCAGTTAGTCAGTTGGCTGGAACAAAGTGAAGCAGTTAGTCAGTTGGCTGGAACAAAGTGAAGCAGTTAGTCAGTTGGCTGGAACAAAGTGAAGCAGTTAGTCAGTTGGCTGGAACAAAGTGAAGCAGTTAGTCAGTTGGCTGGAACAAAGTGAATCAGTTAGTCAGTTGGCTGGAACAAAGTGAAGCAGTTAGTCAGTTGGCTGGAACAAAGTGAAGCAGTTAGTCAGTTGGCTGGAACAAAGTGAATCAGTTAGTCAGTTGGCTGGAACAAAGTGAAGCAGTTAGGCAGTTGGCTGGAACAAAGTGAAGCAGTTAGGCGGTTGGCTGGAACAAAGTGAAGCAGTTAGTCAGTTGGCTGGAACAAAGTGAAGCAGTTAGGCAGTTGGCTGGAACAAAGTGAAGCAGTTAGGCGGTTGGCTGTTGAATGGAATAAAGCATCCAATCATAATTAGGAGTCCTCGTTTAGAACACTTGTCTTAGTGTGTTGTTACTAAACGTTAACTTAAACTACTTTTGAAAGAGTGGAAAACTTTGCTCCCCTCTTTGGGTTGTTGGAAGAGTTGTCAGCTCTTAGTTGTCAGTTCAAACCATCAGATGATCTACCTCAGTATACGGTTCAGTAATGAAAGCCATTGTGACGTCGTATCTTAATCTTTTGATAAACTGATAGATTTGGCGTCAGAGGCGTTAAATGCAAGACGTCCTTTACAGTAGTTAGCTATGTCTCCATGGATGAGTGTGTGTGTGTGTGTGTGTGTGTGGTCTTCAGAAGCCTCAGAGCCCTCTGAGGATACTGTGATTGGCAGATGTTTAATGAGGAGTTATGTATCATTGACACACAATGAATAGCATGTGTTTTTCACGCTGCTAAATTGACAGTTTCACACGTTAGCCAATAACAGATGCTACAGTGCTACCAGGGGTAATCATCGGATGAAGCGTGCATGAATGCTAATCAAAAGGGCAGCCTTGATATTTTACGCCGCCGTCTGTGGAAAATTACAATCACCACATACTGACACACATCTTCCTCAGGGAGATGAAACCTACAGTACTGTGCGCCTGCCTCTCTTCTATACTGCATATATATATATATATATATATATACTATACTGCATACATATACTATATATAGGATATAGGATGGCCTTATTTCTATACAGGGGTCAGCCCCTTCTTGTACTCCCTGTTCACCCATGACTGCGTGGCCACACACAACTCAATCATCAAGTTTGCTGACGACATGACAGTGGTAGGCCTGATTACCAACAACGAAGAGCCCTCGCAGAGTGGTGCCAGGAAAATATAACCTCTCCCTCAACGTCAAACAAAACAATTGAGCTGATCGTGGACTACCGCAGACAGAAGAGAGAGCACGCCCCCCAATCCTCATGCTCGACTGGCGTGCAGCGGAGCGGGTCAAAAGCTTCAAGTTCCTCGGTGTGCACATCGCTGAGGACCTGAAATGGTCCCACCACACCGACGCCGTGGTGAGGAAGGCACAACAGCACCTCTACAACCTCAGGGCGGCTGAAGAACTTCAGCATGGCCCCCCCAAAGACCCTCACAAACTTCTACGGATGCACCAATGAGAGCGTTCTGTCTGGCTGCATCACTGCACCGTTTATACACGCCGCATTTTTATAATAGACTGGATACGTGATATAGCCCATGTGGAAAAGAATCATGAAAATCAAATAAGAATAAGAAACATTTTCAACAAAAATCTAACAAATAATCTAATAAAGTATCTGGTGAGATTTTGTACGAATTTCCTTGTACTGTGTGAGAGTGGTGTACTTGTATATGTGTTAAGTTATATGCCTTATGTGGCAAACACAATTGAATACAATGATTGTGGTGATTTTCCTACAAAGATATGAGACAAAATGTATGAATTATATGTAGCCTCTATGAGTATTAAATCAAATTTACCATGTTTAAAGTAACTGTCCAGTGTTTCCAGATTTAAATTACGCAGGACTAGAGAAGGCGGAGCTGGGTTGTGCAGAAGAAGCCATTTTCACCAGTTTCCTCACATCTATGAAGAGCCCAGGCACATCTATAACACATTGATTAGATTGAAGATACGTTTAGTAGTGAAATAACATCTTTCAGAGGTGTGCTACAGTCGATGTGACAACCTTATCGTTTCTGTGAATATAAGACGAAACAGCCAACCTGGGTCAACTCATTTACCGACATTGGCAAACATGCCTCACACATGCATTACTAAAATAGTGAAATATGGGTGGGCATTGATGTTCAAAATGAAACGACTGACTGGTTTGTAGAATCACTCAGACATCAAGCGGGTCCATACAAACAACAAATGTGCGTGAGGAGCAAGGTGTTCGGGGAGGGGTTACCTAGGGGTACAACGTTATTAGTAGCCACGGTATCAGTTAGTTAAGGGGGGAAACCTATTCCAACAATCTCAGATAAGCGGCACAGACGCTGGTTTTTGCCTTGTGTTTAGCCCAGTGGGTAAGAGTCAAGACTATTGCTCAGTATTACCTTGAAGAACCATCTCCTTCCAGGTGTCATTCTGCTGTTTCAGGTCCAAGTTCTCCTGTGTAAGTTTGGAGTTCTCCTGTGTAAGTTTGGAGTTCTCCTGTGTAAGTTTGGAGATCTCCTGTGTAAGTTTGGAGTTC